GAGTCTGTAATGCGTTTTCTGCAAACGAACCAAATGATTCGTGTTTTTGCATAATGAAACGCTGACATATTTTGGGCCACATTACACATGACGCAATGCGTATCCTTGCAAGACAAGCAACCATGTAAACAATAAATTGATGGTGAGTAATGTGAGATGCGAGACGCAAATGCCACGTGATGGTCAAAACACATCCACGACAGGACTTGTACAAAAACCATTCATTAAATAAAACATGTTTGCTTATTGTACACTCAGCCCTAAGGGTTCTCCAGAGTCTTTTGTTTTCGGATAACAACTCTCTCTCTCTCTCTCTCTCTCTCTCTCTCTCTCTCTCTCTCTCTCTCTCTCTCTCTCTCATATTTTACATTTTGGTCCTCATTGGTTTGGTGTCATGCCACTGACTTTGAGTGGAGGTGCAACTCATGTCCCCTACAACACCGTTGCCACTGTCTGCTCCCTATGTTCCACCCCCAACCCCCGTCCATCTACATCTGGACCCCTTCTTCTCCTTTTCACGGCCTTGCGCACAAACTTTCTTYGTTTCTCTCTCCRCCCGCACGTTTGTCGTCGGTGGGCGCAATGAACTCAAGTTCAAAATCATCATTTGTTGTAGTCATGTTATTGGCGTCTCCCCTCCGTACAGCAGGCAACCCGGCTCTGTACAATGCGACGGCCTTCTCTGCAACAGAAACAGCACGGTCGAGCTTGAAGACAAAAAAGCTTAAAACGGTGTCTCGGGAGCGGAGCGACGCAGCAATCTCTTTCTTGATAGTTGCAAGTTTTTGTATTTGGTCCGTTGCCTTGCTGGTCTTTGCCGTCTGTTCGACTTCAGTTTTCAGTACCAGTTCCGCAAATGCAAGTTGCTGCAACGTTACACCGAGGTTGATGCCACCCCTTCTCATTTGAAAAACTTTTGTTAGTGTCGTCTTGAAAGGAGGTGCGCCCCATGGATCATTGCCGCTCCTTCTCCATGTTGTGTTCCCTTTCATCTCTGCCCGCATCCTGTTGCGAGTCGGAAACTGGTGGTCCGTTTGGGCCGACCGGACCAGCGGAAGACCTTTTTCGGCCCAAAACCAATGTCTCAATTGCCAAGATATCTCGCCGCGGACCGTTGTCATAATCCGATTGCATTCCCCGATCACTGCTCGGATTCCGTACGTTGCCACGTGCAACCGTAGTCCTTCCTCCACATCTTCTCCTATCGATTTCGCAGTTGTTTGCAGTGCCGTGAAAAAAATGTCCTCCGTACGGTACAGCGTGGCATCCTTTGCTGCAGAAAAAGCAAAGACCTTTGCCACCGAACGAAACAGTCTGTCTTTTATTTTCTTTGTAAACCCCCCGGTTTGTTGCTCTGTTGGTTCGTCAGCATTGCCTCCACCGGTGCTGCTTCGCCTACGCAAATTGGTGCAATCTGGGAAAAAAATACAAAAATAACAACAAATTATTGATTTAGTAATAAAAAGACCCTCCGCGATACGTGTTCTATGTGTTGCAATCACAAACAAACATAAGACCGTCAACTCCCCTGCCATACCCTCCTCCGAATACACTTCGTAACACCTCTCATAAAGACCCCCTCCCAACGGCCTGCTTCCCTTCCCCCTCTCCCCCCCATGAACCTCGTCGTTTCTGCGGCATGCAATAACGACTATGCGGCTGTGCATAAATAGTGGTGTCTTTATAAGGCGCCCTTCATCTTACCCTGTAGCGGTACATTCTCCCTCTCCACAATTTGTTTGTCGTTCGATGAAGTCTCCGGTGCGCCTCCCTTTTTCTCATCAGTTCCGCATTGTGCACTGTTCTCAGCAGATGTAATCTCTCTTTCTTCGTCTTCACTGTTGCCTTCCTCTGCCTCTCCGCCCTCCTCGGATCTGTCCTCTCCCTCTGCCTCTTCTCCCTCCGGATCGCTCTCCTCTGCATCGACATCATGGTGACCGTCACTGTTGTCACCTTCTCCTCGTTCTTGCATTCTTTCGTGTTCTACTTCTTCTGACATTTCTTCCGCAAAGTTTTCCACTTCGTCTTCCTCCTGAGCTGTGGTTCGTAAATCGTATGACCCTCTGAGGTCGATTGCTTCAGGACTCCTATCTTTTTTGTATATTATTCTTTTTTTTGTCCTCAGTTGTTGACTCTGTTCTTTTTCTTCTCGTCTTTTCTTCTGTGGCGCTGTCGGAGGCTGCCTCTCGAGGTTGCCGTGTCCCTTCCGCAGCAAGGGAGTCGCGACAGGTAACTTGTTGTGTGCGAGCAGTTTCCCACTCTGCTTTTTCCTCGGCGGGACAGAGAGCACAGCTTCTGTTCTACAGACTATGTTCGTCTCCCGTCTCTTGAATCGGGGAATATCCCTGATGGTATGTCTTTGCTTGACAGTCTTCTGGCCTTCCTTTGCTGTCCTCTCCCCCTTC